AGTAAGAGAATTCATTCTGTATTTCTCACAAAAATCTTTCCTATAACCTTTTACTTAATTTCTTATATTTTTCTTAATTTTCTTGTGATTTCCCTTATATCCCTAATTTCCTCTCTCACTATAATGATATATAATATCTCTTACTATATATCAATATTATATATATTATATCTATCTACCTATCATCTCGCCACTATACTCTCCTAATACCATCTACTAATACATCTATAGAATCTATCGCTTCATCCTCCTCCTATATATATATTATAGTATTATCTTCTTCATTTCTCATTCTATCTTTCCTCCCTTTTTTTCATGCACCCAAGCGCCCAACCATCCCCTCCTCAATTGTTTTCTCCTCCTTCATCTCCACAACCACCGCCACACCCATTGAACCCGCCTAGCTCGAGCCAAAACCCCGGCTCAGCGTCGCGCTCCCCGCCTCGACCTCTGCCAGTTCTCCTCATTCGACCACTACAGCCGCGCCTCTCCACCTACCCGCCATTCTCCTCTCACACTCGACCACCTTCCCTTCAGCCTCCTCTCTCTCTCGCTCTCTTTCACTCAGCCACACCCGCCACCAACCGCTCTCTCCTCCCTCTCCCAGACCAACCGACTACTCCACACTCCCGACGACCTCCTCCTAACAGCTAATCCGCTCCAAGCACGCCACCCATCTGCCCCTCCGACCGCCCGCCCCTGGAACCTCCCTCCTCCTGAGCTCGCCAAAAGCTCTGACAGCCGATCAGACCCCTCCACGCCACTGGCTCCCTGCCTACTCTACCTCTCACCGTCGTCCCTCAATGCCACCCCTAGACCAACATTCTCTATTCTCCTCTCAAGCTCAGTGCCGATGATACCACCGCCTAGCCTCAACCAGCACTGCCCCTACACCTGCGACCACCCAAACAGCCCCTGAGATCCGCCGTCGAACTTCATCTCCCCGCTGCTCTGATCTCCTCTGCCGAACTCCCTTCAACCCATTGCCTTTTTGCCGACATCATCTCCTCCCCTATAACCTAGCCCAATAGGCCTCAGATCACTACCGTTGCTGCCATAATCCAAGCCTCCACCGACAGCCCAACACCACCATCAACCTCCGCACAGCTCCGCTTGTCGCTACCCCTCCTGCTCGCTATCTAGACCCAATATCCTAGATCTAACGCTATCAGATCTGTGTCGCTGTCAGACAGCCACCGATAGTAGCCCCACGGCGACGCTGTCAGCCTCAAATCTCCGCATCACTAGCAGTCGACTCGTTCGGCGTTAACCCGAGGGAAGATCCATTTTCTATGATTTTTCATTCATTTTAATTCTTAGTTTTATCGTAAATTAATTATGCGCAAGTACCTTGTTCTCATTATTACTCCATACAATTTTAGATCTACTAATTATGCGTAAGATTCCGATTCTAGATTAGTTTATTGTAATTCTTATATTTATTGTGAAATAAGTACATGCGAATTTACATTTTTTTAATTGTCATTTATTAGAACTTTAGATCTGTTATGAATTACATGCATAGATTAGACTGTGATATGTTATTACATGTGTAAAATTTGTTTGATGAATGACTGTATGGAAATTTATTATTTTATCACCTTGTTGTTATCTAATAGGAGAGACCGTACATGAAGACGACTCCTGTTAAAAATATGATTTGTATGCGTACTTCAAAGCATGGCTATACTCACTCGATATCAATACCCCGATGTGAGGAGTTTCGAGTTCCCTTGATATCGATATCCTGATATGAGGTTTCCTTGACTATTACTATTATATCATTGACTAGATGATGCACTCTTGATCGGATGTGTTATGGGTCATGGTTATTTTCATAGTTTTACAGAAGTCGTTCCATGGTAACTCCATGGCTAGTGCATAATATTTCATGTACGGTCACTTAAATTAAACTAACAAACATGGGGTTTATAATGGGGAATTGGACAGAGAATATAACATGTATATAAATGGGCACATACGCTTTCCTGATATCGCGAGTTATACATATACATTAGCCAAAGGGCCAATACTTGACTTGAAAGCGTGGCCCTCGGATAGGTTTATGCAGACCCGATTATATATATAAAAATTGTCTTCTCCAATTCAAATAACATGTAAAATAAGAATAATATACTTGTGTGTCCTATGGTGGGCTTTGTTTGATATCTACAATTAGAATTTCCTTTATTATCACCGTGGATGATTATGGACCAGTGGCATGTTATAGGATGATTAATTACATGATCTCGTTACTTAAATGATTATGGATTCTTGTGAGATACGGACCAGTTATATTCTTTTCATACATAGATTGGGATTAATATTTAATTATCTATAATTGAGACATATGGTATATACATGAGGGTTTCCTTGTTTGGATTATTTCGCTCGATGTACTACGTCTCGTGTTGTAGATTTTTTAGTATTAATTCCATCTGGTTGTATGACCTTGTTATTTTGATGAACCAGTGATTTATTATAGGATGGCTAGTTGCATGACTTCGTTATTTGGTTGATTTTTTGGATTGATTTGATTATTATATACTATTGGTGGCTTTCATCTAGTTTTTAGTATTTCAGCTGCATGCTTCTATTTATTATTATTGTTCTTACATTGGTCATTCGACCGTTTCTATTTTCCCTTGTGGGGTCTTACCATTTGCCATACATGCTGACGTACACCAATTTTCTCTGGTGTACGTTAGATTTAGAGGACGAACGTGTCCTGTATGATGATGCATTGGAGTTAGAGTATTCCCAACCGGATTGTCTTGCAGACAGAGCATAAAAAGAAGCTGAAGCCTAGTCTTTTTTTTTTTAGTTGATGGTCCTAGTTTACTTTTGTAGTACTTATTATTTTTGTTTGATTGA